CGCCACTGCCAAGGCCCTGAGGCAAGGGAGCAGGGACGGGACCAGTGAGGGAGAGGAAGGTGAGTTCAGTGAGATGACAGGAGCCATGGCATACATGGGGCTTCGTTGGTGATGCTGAGGAATCTGAAAGCTGAGGTGGGGTGGATGGGATTAAGAATCCCAGAGAGCAGATGACATGAACCAGTTTCCCAGCTACTGGCATTTAGCGCTCAGTGTGTGGACACTATTCTTTTTTCCTATTCCTCACTAGAGTTGAGATGTGCTCTTGGACGGTGCCTAGCCTCTTCTTAGTCTTTGAACTAGGCCTCTAAATGTGGGGTGTGACTAGTAAGGAAATGATGCTGGGAATCTCATCACTTTGGGGGACATAGGCAAGAGGATCAGAAGAAGTTCAAGGTCATTCTCAGCTACATAGGAAATTTGAGACTAGCCTTAGCTATATGATGAGACCTTGTTTCAAAAAAGGAAGCACTTGATGCTTTGACTTACAGCTCATCAGTAGGACATGCGCCTAGTATATACAAGGCTCTGGGTTGCATCCCCAGCAGCATACATAAAGATTAATAAGTGAATGATACTTAAAAAATCAATACTCCATCCTTGCTATGAGTCTTCTAAAATTATGAGATTGTATTATTTGTCACTTATTTTGTAGATAGGGAATTTTTTTTTTTCAAAGACAAGGTTTCTCTATCAGTCCTGGCTGTCCTAGAATTTGCTCTCTAGGCCAGGCTGGCCTCGAACTCATAGAGATTTGCCTGCCTCTGCCTCTCAAGTGCTGGGATTAAAGGTGTGCACCACCACCACCACCCGACAATATTGGAAAAAGTAATGTGCCTAACTAAGGTTGCATGGACAAAAGGAAGTAAGACTAGGGGCTGGTGATTGCTGCTTGTCGCTAGAGAACTCTTGCCTAGTGTATTCAGTGCCTTGGGTTCCATCCCCAACACTGCAAAATGCACAAAACATATGTGAATAGTACCAGGATTAATTAATTTATTTATTGGTTTTCCAAGACAAGGATTTCTCTGTGCAGCCCTGGCTGTCCTGGAACTCACTCTTTAGAACAGGCTGGTCTTGAACTCACAGAGATCCGCCTGCCTCTGCCTCCCAAGTGCTGGGATTAAAGGCGTGTGCTACCTCTGCTCAGTGAAATAGTATCAGGATTTATTCTCTTTCACACACTCTCCATCTTCCTCCAGTTTTCCTCTAGAGATTGGGACCCACACTTTAGCCTGTGCTGACCTCAAACCCCCAAGTGCCAAGATTGCAAGTGTGTACTTCTGGTACCAAGATCTGAATCCAAATATTTGGCTCTAGAGTTCACACTGTGTAACTCCCACCCCCAGGGAAAGACACTCTTGTAGCCACAGTGGGGTTCCCTTTCTGCAGGCTGCTACTCACTGCCAACCCTATCTGTCATGGTTCTCATTACAGGGGCTGCGTGGAAGCTCTTGTCAGGTGTACGGGAGGGCCAAACACAGGTAGACACACCTCAGATAGGGGATATGGCCTACTGGTCCCATCCCATCGACCTGCATTTTGCCACCAAAGGTCTCCAAGGTAGGTATAGGATGAGAGGAGTGGGGCCGGTCAAACTTGGAGGAGCTGGGCTCAGAACACCATGGTTGTCCCTGCTCCCCATACTTTGTGAATCCCTTTCCTGGCACAGCTTCCTCTAGAGAGGTAAATCTGAGGCCTGACCTGAGCTCTAGAAAATCCAAGGCCCGTGGAAGGTGACAGAGGTTGGAGCAGAGGAGATATCAGGAAGTGGGAGGTCAAATGGGAGGGGGCTGCCTTCCAGTAAAGGGCAATGAGGAGGCTGGAAGGGGTAAAGAGAGCTAGATGAGGAGAGGGGTGGGAAATGGGCCAGTTGCCTTTGCTCACAAAAGCAGAGGCCCTGCTCAAAGGGGAAGTGAGTGTGCGAGAGAGGAGGGGATCACATGGGCACAGCTTTTCTCGGTAAAACACGCAGATGCTGGGAAATGGTCTGGGCCGTTCAGCTATCAGGGCTGTTTGTTGACTGAGCCTGTGCCTGTCCAGCTCGAGGAGGGACTCCCCAATAGAGACAGGACTCCAAGTAGAAGATAGAGCAGTTTTCAGATGGGGCTAGCACAGAGGCCATAGGGAACCCAGAAGTCTCTGGGTGGTTACATGACCTGCTAGGACAGAGAACCTTTGGAGCTTTGCTATACAGGGCCAGGAAGAGCTAACTGGACCCAAGGACAAAAACAGAAGAGGCGTCAAGGCAGAGAGCTAGGGTGCATAGAAGGCCCTGGGTGATGAGCAGGCCAGGCACTGGATGGCTGTGGGGGAGGGGGCTAGGGGCAGGGAGCCTCTGTGTGGGAGCAGATTGCAGGGCCCTGGTTGCCAAGGCACTGAGACCATCTCTTGAGGGCTCTGGGGACCTGATTTTGCTTGTGCACAATCTCACTGGCTTCTGGCCGGGGGACATATTACAGGGTGAGGTGGAGAGATAAACCTTCATCTCTTCAGGCCTGGCCTTAAGCTGGCTTCCCCCTTGATTTCTTTCTTTTTATTCCCCCATTCTGCCCACCACCAAATCCTGTTGGTTCTAACATCCCACTTGAAATACACCCCAACCTCCATTCCTCACCCCTTCTTCCATCTTCTCTTAGCTGGACCCTTCTTTCAGGCTTTATTCACTGAGCTCCCAGACCCAGGCCTAGGGTTTGCACCCCACATGCAGCTACCAGGGGCATGTGAGGACCTAAGTCTGACCTTTTCCTTCGTGTGTATAGAACCTTCTAGCAGTTCTCCTTTTACTCAGGATAAAAGCGGGTGTCTTCCCTGCCATCACATGACCCTGTGTAATCTGGCTGTTGCCACTTTCTTCCCACTACCCCCCCCCCCATTCTAGCTGCACTGGCCCCAGCAGGCTAGCTCCTACTTGAGGACTTCTGCATTGGCTGGGATCTCCCATCCCCTAGGTGTCTAGATGGCCTGCTCCCTTTAAGCATTTGTGTATGTGTTGCCTCCTGGTTGATTTGTCTGTTTTTCAGATAGAGCCTCTGAACATAGTCCAGGCTAGCCTGGAACCTCAGCATCCCAAGTGTGCACAAAAAGGTCACCCTTCCAGTTAAGGCCTTCCTTCCTGTATAGCCCTGGTTGTCCTAGAACTCATTATGCAGACCAGGCTAGCCTTGAACTTTCAGGAATCCTTTTGCCTCTACCTCGCAAGTGCTTCATGACAGCCATACACCGTGGTGCTCAGCCCCAAATGTCACCTTCGTAGCAAAGCTTCCTTTACTCTCCCCCCACTTCCCCAAACTCCATCTCCACCCCTCCCTCCCTGGCGTTATTTTCCTCCATAGCAGTTATCACCATCTGACATACCCTGTAATTTTCTTATTTACTGTGTTGGTTGTCTAGAATGTCAGCTGCACGGGGCAGGAATTTTTGTCTGCTGTGTTCATCACCATGTCCCCAGCTTCTGGAATAGGACCCAACAGGAAGAGCCCAGGGTAGAGGGGGAGATGGGCTCACTCCAAGAGCTCTGACTAGTTCAGCTGTGCTTTGAGGACACTAGAAACCTAATGAAGGGGAGAGGTGGGTTGCTCTGGGGAAGAACAGGTAGGTGAGAACAAAGCAGGTCCAGGAGGAGAGAGGGGGCTGGGAGTGCAGTAGGCTCTGTCACAGGGAGACAGAGGAGACCACAAAGCCAAGTCAGCAGAGGCTTTTCACGCTCAAGAGGTTGGACTTTGTACTGTGGCACAGAGTAGCCATGGAAGGGTTTGGAACAAGACGGTAATGTGAATTTATATAGATCCCTGTGACTAGTATGAGGTGTGGATGGGAGATGGGAACCCAGAGAGGAAATTTAGGCAATAATCAAAGGCAAAAGGACTGGGCCAAGGTCTCTAGTGGTTTCAAGGAGATGGGAACCCAGGAGCATGTGGCTGCCTCCCTTAATCTCTCCTTTATCTAACTGCGCTTGTCCTGCAGGTTGGCCTCGACTCCATCTCCAGGTGTGGTCCCAGGACAGCTTTGGCCGCTGCCAGCTTGCTGGCTATGGCTTTTGCCACGTGCCTAGTAGCCCAGGCACCCACCAGCTGGATTGCCCCACATGGAGGCCCCTGGGCAGTTGGCGGGAACAGCTGGCACGTGCCTTCGTGGGTGGTGGGCCACAGCTGCTGCACGCAGACACCATCTACAGTGGGGCTGACCGCTATCGCCTGCACACAGCCGCAGGTGGCACGGTGCATCTTGGTATTGGCCTGCTGTTGCGCCATTTTGATCGCTATGGTGTGGAGTGTTGAGGGACTTCATCGCCACTATAGTCACCATCATCTACAGCCCTGGGAACTCTTGAGCACAAGATGGCACAGCCGTCAAGAACATGGACTCTGGAGACTGTCAGTCTTGACCTTACCCAAGTCATGGCCCCTCTATCCTACCTAGGACTACAAGGCCCTGCTTGTAGAACTGTCCGGTAGTAGACAGTGGGTTACAGGGACTTGAGGAGAACTAGCTGTTGGGCTTATGAGAGGCACTTAATAAAAGCTCTCGGTTTTCATGTGTATGGTGCCTCCTTTTCCCACTGCAACTCTCAGATGCCCAACGTCTTCTTCCCTCATCCTCCTTGGTACCTTTCTCGGTAGACCCAAAGTCTGTCCAGCCTTTCAGTCTCTACATCCTGGGTCCCCACCTCTAATACCTCCTCTGGACCCTATTTTCTCACGAAGTCCCCATTTTCTCATTGACCCTTCATCAACCCCCAAAGCCACGGGGCGCTTTCGTAGAGCTCGGCCGCCAGGAGGCAGCACCCTGGAGGTGGGGCGGGGCCGGGGTGCCCGCCTCCTCCCGCAGGGCTGAAGGGACCCCCCTCGGAGCCCGCCCACGCTAGATGAAGACGGTGCCCCCCCCCATGCTCTCCTCCTGGGGCTGCCCCCGCCCCGCGCGCGCTTCCTGGGTGGGGCCGGGGCGGCTTCAAAACCCCCCGCCGCCCCAGCCGGTCCCCGCCACCGCCGCCCTTCGTGCCCCAGGCCGTCCCCCTCCTCCTCCCGCCGCGGATCCTCCAGACAGCGAGGCCCCCGGCCGGGGCAGGGGGGACGCCCCTTCGGGGCACCCCCGGCTCTGAGCCGTCCGCGAAGCCACCTCCGCCCGAGCCGGCAAAAGAGCAGGCGAGGAGCCGTCCGAGGCCCCAGAATCTGAGTCTAGCCGCCGCAGCCACTGCGGGGAGGAGGGGGAGGAGGAGTGGGAGGAGGGACGAGCTGGTTGGGAGAAGAGGAAAAAAGTTTTGAGACTTTTCCGCTGCTACTACGAGCCGGAGACGCGGGGACCGCTTGGCGCTGCGCTGTCCCACAGAGGCAGAACCTAGGAACTCCAGACCGCCCTGCTCACCGTCGTGGACGTTTGCTCGCTACACGGCGTTCCTCAGACGCCCCTATCCCGGACCAGCCCTCGAGAGCCGCAAGCCCCGCCTCCCGCGAAGACTTCACCCCAAAACCGGGGCGCACCCCTTGCACGCCGCCCTTCCCCCAGCCTGCCTCCTGAGTCCCCCGCATCCCAGGACCCTCTCTCCCCCAGGAGGCTGATCTCCCTCAGATCTGCTGGCAGTAGCTCCCCTATTTAAGAACACTCACTTTTTGGTCCCAGAGAGAGCGTTCATCTCTTTTTTCCCCCCGGTGGCATACTGAGACATCCTGTGTCAGAGCCTCACCGTGACTTCTGCTGCTTTCTCCCTCAACCTCAAATTACTCAGGACTCTCTGCTACCTTTCCTTGGGAGACCCCCCCCCAAACCCTGCAGGGGCGGGGCCTCCGCATCCCACCTTTGCCCGGGGTTCGCGCTCTTCGCATTGCCGCGGGGCGCCGCCTCTCCCATGCCGCCCTCGGGGCTGCGGCTACTGCCGCTTCTGCTCCCGCTCCCGTGGCTTCTAGTGCTGACGCCCGGGAGGCCAGCCGCGGGACTCTCCACCTGCAAGACCATCGACATGGAGCTGGTGAAGCGGAAGCGCATCGAAGCCATCCGTGGTCAGATCCTGTCCAAACTACGGCTCGCCAGTCCCCCGAGCCAGGGGGAGGTGCCGCCCGGCCCGCTGCCCGAGGCCGTGCTTGCTTTGTACAACAGCACCCGCGACCGGGTAGCTGGCGAGAGCGCCGACCCGGAGCCGGAGCCCGAGGCGGACTACTACGCCAAAGAGGTCACCCGCGTGCTAATGGTGGATCGCGCCAACCGTGAGCTCGGAGGGGGCCAGGGAGCCGGGAGGGAGCCCGCAGGGGGCGCCGGAGTGCAGGGGTCACTGGGAGGAAATTACCGGCAGAGGAAATTGGCTGGAGGAAGGGGACTCCTGGGGGCTCCGGGAACGAATGCATGGGTACCCCAAAGAGGATTGCGCTTAGTCTCTACCCCAGGTGCCTGGTCTCGGAGAGGAAGGGACAGTAAGCAAAAGTGGACCTCTTCTAGAGGGGAGCAAGATCGTGGGGACAGTCTTTTTTAGAAAGAACATTTGGCAGATTTTGTTGTTTTAAGTTTCTTCTTACAGTGCTTAGAAACGCAGGGCTCATTGGGTTCCCTTTTCAGAAAGGTAGAGCCCGGCTCAGGAGAAGGGAAGGCGCCTAACATTTGGGAAAGGAGAGGCAGCGTGAACAGCTGACGCTAGATCGGGTCATGAGATGGAGAGAAGAGATTCAAGGACAAAAACTAGGGGATGAGGACCCTACAACTGCCAGATAAACTCTCAAGTAGATTCATCTCCAGAAGGGGCCAGGCGCACGCTGGATAGGGGGAGTTCGTGGAGTCACCGTGGGGTTCCAAGTGATAAGTTAACTAAAAAAGGGAAGCGAAGTTGTTGAGAGGAGTCTAAAGGGAGAGGAGCAGAGAGGGTGCGGAAAATGAGCCCGGAGGTGTCACGGGTGTTTTGCTTAGGGACGTAAAAGAGCGCGCTAGCGGGCAGGCGGAGCCCAGTAGAGGAAGCGAGCGAGTCCCCAAGAAATCTAGAATACCGGGTCATTGGAAAAGAGTTATAAAAGAGGGGAGACTGGCGTGGGAAGATGGCCCCGCGAGGTGGGCGGGCGGGTGGAGCAGGGACACCATGCCATCCAGGCGTGAGTGGTGAGCGCCCCTCGCCTGGGCGTGGAAGGGAGTGGCTGAGCCCCAGGAGTCGAGCCCTAGGGGAGCGGCTAAAAGTTGGGGGAGAGCCTGTCTGCAAAACCCAAAAGAGAAAACCGAGTCGGTAAGGGTGAGAAAGCTCCACGTGGGTGCCACGCGCGTGGGGAGGAGCCTGCGCTTCCTGAGAGAGTAAGAGGACCCCATAGAGCTGAATCCTGGTCTGCTGTACCCCCAGAGCCCCAGTTCCTCCTGGGGAGGCTGGGGAAAACCCAGCGTCCGGCCGCCTAGCCCTCCTCCCTTCCCTTTCCTTCCCGTGCCCGGGAGGGGGGAGGCGGGGGGGGGGGGATCGCGCGCGGAGCCTAGGGCGAGACGAGGCAGGTCCCGATCCCGCCCTCCGCCCTCCGTAGGCTGTTAGTCTCCCGCCCTCCTCACCCCAGCAGTGGGCGGGGATACTCACGGCCCCGCCCGGTCGGCACCCACGCGGGACCCAGGCACCTTGCATGACCCGGCAGCTTTAGGGGGCAGTAGTCCCTCCGGGTTGCACATTGCTGTACCCAGTTGTGGCTCCAGCCTAATGACACCCCTCTCTGACCACTACTTAATGTGACCCTTTCTCTCTCCCGAGTCTGTCCGTATTTCTTCTAATAGGCATATATATATATATATAGCTCTTCGGGCGTTTGCCTCCCCATTTCTCTCCCACGTACCTACTCATCTCTATATCAGTCCACCTCCCTCTGTGACACCCATAGTCCTTCCTGCCCCCCCTTCCCCTATCTGTTTCCCCCTGCTAAGATGCTACCCTTCCTTTGAGGTTTGCTGAGTAACAACTGAACCAAGAATAGGGCCACAAGGAAGAGGTGTCTTCTGCCCTTAATAGCTGTCTGGGACATTATCCCATCCTCGCTGCAGGAAGCCAAATGCAGTTGCCCTAGTTGATGCAGGAATTCAGGATCTTACCCCCACGCGCCCCCAACCCAAACATCCTCTAGCCTAGGACGCCCTCTGGTGAATGGGGCTCTCATCATTCGGTCGTTCTTACCTAGAAACGCTCTTCACTGCGAACTGTGCAGGAACTGGGCTAAAGCAGGAAGTAACTTTTGACCGATGATACATGGATAATAGTAACATCACACTGGCCAGAAAGTAACAAGAGTTTAGGGATTCAGATCACAGTCGGCCAGGCATAGTGGTCTGTGACTGTAATCCCAGCACAAGGGAGGTGATTATTTCAAGACCATCCTTGGAGCCTGGCGGTGGTGGTGAGAGGCAGAGGCAGGCAGATTTATGTGAGTTCGTGGCCAGCCTGGTCTACAAGAGCTAGTTCCAGGATAGGCACCAAAGCTACAGAGAAACCCTGTCTTGAAAAAAGAAAAAGTCCTTAGATACATAATGAGTTTTAGGATAGCCTAAGCTATGAGATCCTGTCTTCAGAAACAAAGTAAACAAAAAATCAGTCCCTGGAGCCAGGTGGCTTGCATCTTGCCATGTTGTGAAGTATCAATGTCTTTGTCTTTGTAAAGTGCTTTAAGTGATATCCTTACCATTTGCTGTATTTCCCTCACCCCTTTAGAAAAAAAAAAAACAGAAAATATGGTCTCAGTAAATACTTCCTCAAAATACTCCTGCCTCAGCTTCCTCCGTGCTGGTTGCAGACTTGCACAGGCTAACATACATGTTATTGATGTGTGTGTCAGATCTTTAGCTTTTGTCTCACATCTGTCTCATCTGCTCCTGTAATCCTGGAACTGGATGGTGTTTTACAGTTAAAGAGGAATTTGATCACCACAGGTTACACAGTGCTTTAGTTAGGACCATCTGGGTTTGGGCGTCAGAACTTAATGGTACCACTGTTTCTCCAAAGACTAAGGGGACACTGGCCCAGCGCTAGGGCACTTCCCTAGGGCCCACCACAAAAGGGCTGGAGGTGTGGTTCAGCAGCTAAGCTGCTAACCTAGAACCTGCCAGGGGAGGAGCTGTGGGTGTGGTTCAGTGCAGGAGCACCTGAGGCCAGCAGCTGAGAAGTAGTGGGGAGACTCTCTGATCCCCCAAACTATACCTGTGTCCCTTACACCACAACTTGGTTTTGTTTGGTTTGAGACATTAGCTCTCCTGCAGCCTGGGTGGGCCAGCCTTGGCAGCTGTATGCTTGACAGGTGATGCTTCATGGAATGGGCAGGACTTAGCAGAGAGGAAGCAAACCTAGACAAGGAGAAACCCTCCCCTACCCCAGGTCAGCCAGCTAAAATGATCAGTGGGGGCTGGAAGGGTGGCTCAGCGGAGAAGAGCATTGGCTCCTCTTCCAGAGGGTTGCCAGAATCCACATGGCAGCTCACAGCCAGTGAGCTTCGGTTCTAGGGGATTTTACATCCTCTTCCGGCCTCCACAGGCACCAAGCATGCACATTGTACACAGACACACACACACACACACACACACACACACACACACACACACAGCCAAAACACCCAGGTACACAGCATACAATGAAAAGTTGAAAATTAAAGTTATCAGGTGGACCGCCGACCTGGGACTCTCAGAGTCAGGGTTCATGGCTCAGAAGCCCTGTTCCTCCCATCCTTGTCATACACCTGATGTCGTCTCCTTCTTCTCATCTAGCAATCTATGAAAAAACCAAAGACATCCCACACAGTGTATATATGTTCTTCAATACGTCAGACATTCGGGAAGCAGTGCCTGAACCCCCACTGCTGTCCCGGGCAGAGCTGCGTCTGCAGAGACTCAAGTCAAGAGTGGAACAACACGTGGAACTCTACCAGGTGAGGCTTCGACCCTGAGAGGTGGGGCACAGGCCATCAGTGCCGAGGAGTGGCCAGGTGGCCCAGTTTGAAGGCTACAAAATCTACATAGCCATTCGTAGAGGATGGAGGACAGAATGTTGAATCCTCTGGTGTTTTTTAAAAACTCTTAGACTGCATGCTATTAGCTGAATTTTGCGGACTGAACTCCAAAAATGCAGAAAGAGCCAGGAGATTGATATCTGTGCTTGTATGTCTAGGATCAATCGGTGAGGGGCTGGGGTGTGGCTCAGTGGTAGAGCCCCTGCCTAGAATCCCCCAGTGAAGGGCTGGGGTGTGGCTCAGTGGTAGACTGATTGCTTAGCATGACTAAAGAAAACATTAGGTTCCACCCTCAGCACAGGAAAAAAAAATGAAGATTGAGGAAGGAAAGGAAGTTGGAGTCTTTAGGAGCACACGTTTGGAATCCCAGCTCTTAGAAGGTTGAGTCAGGAGATCAGGAGTCCGAGGCTGGGCTGGACTACATGAGACCCTATCTCAAGGGAAAAGTGGTAATTTCACTTAACTAAACTTGAAGTCGAAGGGCTGGAGAGATGGCTCAGCAGCTGGGAGCACCTATTGCTTTTGCAGAGGATCCTGGCTCAGTTCGCAGCACCCATGAGGTGACTCAAAAGCATTAACTCCAGTTCTCGGAGTCACGCAAGGTATGCATACACACAAGGAGACAAAACCCTTATAACACATAAAATAAAAAAAAATTGAAAACTTTAAACTGAGGGGCTGGGGTGTAAGTTGAATGGTAGCGTGTTTGCACAGCAAGCAGGAAGCCCCGGCTCAATCCCCAGCACTACGTAAATCAAGTGAGATGCTGCACACCTGCTGTCCCAGCACAGGGGAGATGGAAATGAGGTCAAAAACTCAGGTCTAGGGACTGGAGAGATGGCTCAGCAGTTAGGAGCACTGACTGCTCTTCCAGGGGACTTGGGTTCAATTCCCAGCACCTACATGACCACTCTCAACCATCTGTAACTCTAAGGTCTGACACCCTCACACACACATGCATGCAGGTGAAACACCAGTGCATCTAATGATGTATGTAGTCATACCTGGTGTCCCAGCTTCTTGGGACACAAAGGCAGGAGGATGTCCTGAACCCAAGCATTCAAATTCAGACCAAGAAATTAAGTGTTTCAAATGCTCTTCTGGTCTCTTAGGAGTCACTATTCCGGAGACAGGGTTTCTCTGGATAGCCCTGGCTGACCTGGAACTCATTCTGTAGACCAGACTGGTCATTCTGTAGACCAGACTGGCCTTGCACTCAGAGCTCTGCCCGCCTCCGCCTCCCTAGTGCTGGGATTAAGGGCACTGTGCCACCACTGTCTGGCCAAAAATAACATTTTTAAGCCTGGTTGTGGTGGTGCACACCTTTTATCTCAGCACACAGGAGGATCTCTGTTGAGTTCAAGGCCAGCCTGGTTTACAGTAGTTAACTCTAGAACAGCTAGGGCTACACAGAGAGACCAGGTATTTAAAAGAAAAAAAAAATCCACTGTTGGGAAGACCATTTTGGACATACACACAATAGTAATTATAAATAAAGTAATAAATAAACACATTAATGAGAAAATTACTGCTCTCAGAGGCAGTGTGCAAACTGCCGAACCGTCTTGCATTGTGGGCCATCCCAGCTGCCATGGCTGAGCATTCCACCATGAAAGAAACTGAGGCCCAGAAAGGGAAAGACATGCCAATGATGAGGTGCCTCATGGTGCCTTGACCACAGCTTGGACTGTTGTTTTTCCCCCATCTGCTTTCTGCTCTTGGGGGCTATTATGAGTGTGGAACCTGCAGGGCCCATAGTGTGATGTGACCAAAGCCAGTGTCTGGGGATTGTCTGGAAGCCACCTCATGGGGACAGGCAGGATAGGGTTACTATCAGGGTCTCTGAGGGTATGGTGACACCTGCCCACTCCTCTTTCTTTGTTTCCATTCAGAAATACAGCAACAATTCCTGGCGTTACCTTAGTAACCGACTGCTGTCCCCCACTGATACACCTGAGTGGTTGTCTTTTGACGTTACCACAGTCGTCCGACAGTGGCTGAGCCAAGGAGGTGAGGTTGCTTGTCTGTGCCCACCTTCGGCGGGGTCACCCATTGTTTGTCTTGGCATCACCGAGCCTAACATCCGTCACCACCACACACACCTGATACTGATGTCACAGAGTACCCTAGTTCAAAAGTACCCCACAGTTCTCACCGCTCGCTCGAAGAATCAGTGATTGGTTGTGATGACCTGGACTCCGTCAGTGAAGCTAGGGACACAGCAGCTACCCAAACAGCTCACCCGAACTCCTGGTCCTTTGGGTAGTTGAAGAAGAAACGACTTCAGCTAAGTGGTGGTGACTCGGGAGAGAGCTGGAGATGAACACTCAGGAGGTGTCTTGACTGTCTGTGTTCAAGGAGGGCTTCCTGGAGGAGGGGGCATGTGAGGTAATGTCCTTGAGATGAGCAGAAACAGTCAGGAAATGGAGATACAAGAGTAGCCTATACCAAGGCTCTTTGGCCAGGAGAGCCTGACATGTCGATCTGTCCAGGAGGGAATCGTCTTGTCCCGTCTATCCAGAGTACTTTCATCTGTCTTCCTCTCTCATCCTTAGATCCAATCAGTGCCACAGGTTTCTGTTGTGAGTGATCTGTGCTGGACGCTGTAGGTAGCATAGTCATAACCTGGGTCCTGCCATCACAAGGCCCACAGGGTCCTAGTCTGTGATGAGGAAGGCCAGAGCAGAGCCCTCCACAGAGGGGGCAGGACTGAGATGAGGGAAGCTCAGATTCAGAGAAACCCAAGGAAGTTTAGGACCTGGGTGGGCTTCCTGGATGAGAGTGCCTGTGGGGAGACTCATGGGATGTGTCCTTTAGCCAGATGCATGATGGGATTGAGCAGGCTGGCACCAGGAAGGGCTTTGAAACCGGTTGGACCAAAGTTGAGAAGTATCTCTTCTCTCTCCATTGATGCTGAGTCTGAAGCATACTGCAGGGCCCAGCACATAGCAGGAGCTTAGTATCATTTACGCATCCTCTCAAGAAACGTCTCCCACTACCGGGCTGTGGCGGCACTTGCCTTTAATCCCAACGTGGGAGGCAGAGGCAGGCAGGATCTCTGAGTTCAAGGCCAGTCGACAGAGTGCATTCCAGGATAGCCAGGGCTACACAGAAAAGAAATGTCTCCCCTGGGCCAGTGAGATGCTCAGCAGGTAAAGGTGTCTGCTGCCAAGCTTAATGGCCTCAGTTCCATCCCCAGGACCCTACAAGCTGACCTCTGACCTCCATGCACACCCTGGCACATGCATACCCTCCACAATAAATAAATAAAATGGGAAAAAATGGCCAAATGAGCGAGCAATTTAGTACCAAAAAACAACAACCAAAACAAAACAAAAAACCCTACCAGTGCAGGGTTGGAAAGCAGGCAGCTTAGGTTTACAGTACTGTGCCTTTGCCTGTGGCCCCCTGTGTGGTCTTGGTCAGGTCACTTCCTTTTTGTGTGCCTTCCTTTCTGGCCTGTAAGAGGGAGGTGTTTGAAGATTCAAGGGCATTCCTCAGAGTTTAGATTAGGACCCGGCACCTGTGTTAGGTGTGAACTCTTCTGCTTTACCAAAACTGCTCCTGACCCTGGGTCACAGTGGATGTTTGTGACTGAGGATCAGGTTTCGCAGAGCACAAAGAGAACGGACCCACAACAACGTGCATGGTGGTACACAGCCTACTAAACCCTGCACTTGGGAGCCGGAGTCAAGAGGACCCCCAGTGGAGTTCAAGGTCATTCTTAGCCATAGAGTGAGTTTGAGAATTTGAGGCCAGCCTGGGCTACAAATGAGAAAGAGGACCAGGGAGATGGTTCAGTGGGCAAGAGCTTTCACTTGCCAAGCAAGAGAGCCTGAGTTCGAATCCTCCGCACCCATGTGAAACCAGGCATAGCATATGTTCGTAACCCCAGCACTGTTAGGGGTGGAGTGTATGTGTGGAGACACACAACTCTGGCCAGCTAGCCTAGCCAAAGGAGCAGGCCCAAGTTCAGAGATCTGCCTCAAAGTGGTAAAGGAAGGAGCGGTTGAGGAGGCCACCGAACACCCAGCTGTGGTCTCTGCACGTACCACACACACAAACATGCCACATGTTATCATTTTCTATCTCCAAATATGTGTGCTGTGTGTATCACACACACACACACACACACACACACACTTTTTTTTTCTTTTTAAATGAAAGAAATGAAGGCAGGGGATGGGTCCCTCCCCTGAGCATGTTGTTCTGCTGAGAACAATGAAAGGCGGAAATAGTCAAGCAGAAATGTCAGAGCCTCTGCCTGCCAAGGAGAAAGTGAAGGGATGGCAGTGTGAGAGGGATGTGTCTCTTTTGGAGCCTCTGCTAGGAATTGACCTTTGAGCTGAGCCCTGAATAAGGGCGAGAAGGGGCCAGCCACTCAAAGACTAGGAGCAAGAGTGAAGTATGTGGGGTGACAACAGGAAGGAGCCCCGGGGGTTGGCAGCTTCCTGCCGGTAGGCCTCCTCCCTCAAGCTGGGTGAGTCATAACCTCAGATTCCTTCTCTCTCCCACAGACGTAATACAGGGCTTTCGCTTCAGCGCCCACTGCTCTTGTGACAGCAAAGATAACGTACTCAGCGTGGAAATCAACGGTGAGCCCGATGCCTGGTGTAGTCTGTGCGAGTGTGCCTGTTGAAATCATGTATCCTTGCTCACCCACGCATCCCTCTGAGTGTGTATGTCTTTCACCCCAACATCCAAACCTAAACAGGGATCAGTCCCAAACGTCGTGGTGACCTGGCCTCTATTCAGGACATGAACAGACCCTTCCTGCTCCTCATGGCCACCCCACTGGAGAGGGCCCAACACCTGCACAGCTCGAGGCACCGCAGAGCCCTGGATACCAACTACTGCTTCAGGTGAACTTCTCTGCCTTCCACTGAGGCTGCGCAGGACTGGGGCTTGACTGTAGTCTGTGGGACTGGTATGCCACCATTGATGCCTGGCTGGTGCTCTTAGCCTGAAGGGCTTGGGGACGAGTTCCTGGTTCTATAGGCAGCTGAGAGTCCTAGCATGTGGGGTATTTTCTTACTGGACTGGCAGGATGAGAGAATTCAGGAAGGCTGGCACAAGAGTTAGAAGTCTATGTTGGAAGGTTGTCTTGTTAGATTTTAAGTTCTAGCTAGGTAGATTTCTGCCCTGTGGAGATTCTAATGAAAGAAGATTTATTGTGAGCAGTTCAGTGCTGACCTCAGGAAAGCAGGAGTGTTGGGATCCTAGCTTTTGGGTTCCCAATCAAAAGTGGTCTGCTTCAGGTTCCCGTGTTCCTGCAGACTGTAGTCTTTGGTGTTGGCCACTGCCGAGTGGAATGGTGGGATCTGGTATAGGGATGTTAGCGCCAAGGTTGGAAGTAGGGAAAGCCGGGATGGGAGTCTCCTGAGGGTCAGCACCCTTGATCTTGCCTGAAGAAGTTGGGAGGTTGGACTTTCTGAGAGATAGGCTTAGGTGTTGGTGTGTTGGAATACGACACTGAAATACAGGACTCTGAGGAGACAAGATCTTCAAGAGTTGGAAAGTGGGGCTTCTGGAGTGCCCAGATTACTCTCAGGATGGCAAGCCGCTCCCCCTTTCTTTTTTCTTTTTCATTTTTTTTTTGTTTTTGTTTTTGTTTTTTTGAGACTGAGTTTTCTCTGTAACTTTGGTGCCTGTCCTGGAACTAGCTCTGTAGTTCAGGCTGGCCTCGAACTCATAGAGATCCGCCTGCCTCTGCCACCCGAGTGCTGGGATTAAAGGCATGCGCCACCACCACCCAGCTGGCAAGCTCTTTTTATTGGTTGTTTTTAAATTATATTGTGTGTGTATGAATGAGTGTGTGTGTGTGTGTGTGTGTGTGTGTGTGTGTGTGTGTAGGGGCATCCGTGTCACATGACACTTGTGTGAAGGTCAGAGGACAATCTTTGGAACTCAGTTCTCTCCTTCCACCATGTGTCCTTGAGGTAGAACTGAGGTGGTGGGGATCGGCAGCAAGCGCCTCTACTCCCCAAACCATCTTGGAGCCCTCCTTTGCTCTCTCCTATTAGAGGCAGGGCTTCGCTGTGTGTTCCAGGCTGGCCTCAGATTCACGTCTTTATCCCAGGCAGGCTTGAATTCTCTGGCTTGGAATTACAGGTGTGTACAGCCACCTGGTTCCAAAACGATGGACCCACACGAAGCTTCAATGCTGCAGATGTGAGGAAGTTGAAATGCTTGCTCCTCGAAGGTTGAAATCCAGGGTGGGAGTGTTGAGAGCAATGAGCTGACCTGGCCGTTCCCTGCTTGAGATTGCATGGTTGTGTTCCATGTCAGTCCCCGGCATCTTCAACACCTACTGCCATCAGCCTTCACATAGGAGCAGATAGAAGTTCTGACAGATTAATAATAATTAATCTTGACAATTAATTAACAGGTAGCTCTGTGAGCTCTGTTCCCCCACACTAGAGAGCAAACCTAGGAAATCATGAAAATCTCTCTCTGTCCCTCCCTCCCTCCCTCCCTGTCTCTCTATGCTCATATATATGTATATAGAGATAAATATATATACAGATACATATATACATTTGTTCTGCCTATGCCCGATGTCTATGTGGACCCTGGAAAACTCAAGTTTTCATGCACAGCAACCCCTTTCTTCACCCAGCCCTATCCCCAGCTGTGACAACCCATTGTGTACGAAAGAACACAGTGCCATTTAGGAAGGTTTGCCAGATAGAACAACCATGATCTGATGGGTACTGTAGCTGCCACTACCATGTTTCTCTGAAACAGAGGGCAGATGAACATTAAGCTGTACCACAGGTATGCACCCAGCAGAACACAGGTGGCGGAAACCTTGTCAGTTTCTTCAGCAAACACAGTACAAAGAATGGGGGGATATATCGTGAACAGCACTGGAAAAGAGGAGGAGAGGTAGAGAGAGGAGGGGGGAGAAAAAGAAAGGGAAAAGAGACGTACTGTATGGGACCTTTTGGGAACTGTGAACTTTGAGTAGTACTTGATTTTTAATAAGTTGCTTTTAAATTCTTATCTAGAATTTTATTGTTGTTGCTGCTTTTGTGTTTCTGAGGAGGGAACTCAGCACCTTATACATGATAGGGAAGTACTCTGCCACTGAGCCACGCCCCCAGCACCTCACTGGGGGATTCTAGGCAGGTGCTCTGTTGCTGAGCCACACTCCAGCCCCTCACTGGGGGATTCTAGGCAGGGGCTCTACCACTGAGCCACATCCCAGCCCCTCACTGGGGATTCTAGGCAGGGGCTCTACCACTAAGCCACACCTCAGCCCTTCACTGGGGGATTCTAGGCAGGTGCTCTGTTGCTGAGCCACACCCCAGCCCCTCACTGGGGGATTCTAGGCAGAGCTAGAGCCACTGAGCATATTGATTTGTACTTTTGACTCAGGTTAACATTTTAAAATATTCTACAAAAGCCAAATAAACAAATGAAAAGAATACAGGGGCAGAATGGAAGTCGGCTACTGTTGACACAATTGTGAGGATGGGAACTGTTAAAGAATCCATAATCCAGGGGCGGGAGAGATGGCTCAGTGGTGAAGAGCATTGCCTGCTCTTCCAAAGGTCCTGAGTTCAATTCCCAGCAACCACATGGTGGCTCACAACCATCTGTAAAGAGGTCTGGCACCCTCTTCTGGCCTTCAGGCATACAGACAGAATATTGTATACATAATAAATAAATAAATATTTAAAAAAAAAAGAATCCATAATCCAACTGGGCAGTGGTGGCACATTGCCTTTAATCCCAGTATTTGGGAGGCAGAGGCAAATAGATCTCTGTGAGTTCGAGGCCAGCGTGGTCTACAGAGTGAGTTCATGGATAGCTAGGGCTACGCAGAGAAACCCTGACTCGAAAAGACAAGAAAAAAAATCCATAATTCAGAAGTCCAAACTCTAGGTAGCTGGCCACGGTGGACACAAGTATAACAATAGCACTGGGGAAGTGGAGACAGCAGAGTCGGGGTTCCAAGTCATTGGTAGTTATCTAGTGTGCTCGGGGCAGGCTCGACTACGTTAGACCCTGCATCAAAAAGGACAGGGCATCTGGAGAGCTGGTTCAGCAGTTAAGAGCCTGAGGACCCACATTCAGCTCTCATCATCCACATGGTGACTCATAACGATCCCTAACTTCAGTCCCAGGGAATCTAATTCCTTCTTCTGGCCTCTGTGGGCACTGTACATATGGGGTGCACACATATCCGTGCAGGAAAACACTCATATGTGTAAAAACGTTCTTACATAGCCAGGCTTGGTGCCGCACATCTCTAATCCCACACTCAGCAGGCAGAGATAGGGTGTTCATTTGAGTTTGAGGCCAGCCTGGTCTACATGGAAAATGTCAGGATGCCATGTGGAGAGCCTGTCTCATAAAATATGAATAATAATAACATTAAAATAAATGGGGGTTGCAGGAGGAGGGTACTTAACTTCGATAAAGTCTGTGTAAATATCCCATATCCCCAAAACGTTGTCCAATCTGAAAGGCTTCTTCTGGTCGAGTGTTCAGTTCACACTGTAACAGTCTACAGACTGGCGAGGGATTGTGCGACGCCTAGGACTGCCCTCCAGGAAGTCCCAGTGTGTCATGGTCACCAGGAGAGCTGTTGTCCTTCAGCCCAGCACCCGTGGTTCAGCAGGAATGCACAGGTTGAGCCCACAGGGACCTCAGTGTTGAGTGTTGCTGTGGATTCTGTGACTCTTGTCCTGGGGTTCGCTCGTGGTCACCTCCCTTTTAGCCACATTTACCTGTGTGTCTCTTCCCGGAATTTGTCCCTGTGGAACACTTATGTATATCCTCGGATGCTTTATTTTTCATTGTTTGAAATAAGGTCTCCCTATGTAGCCCTGTCTGGCTTGAAACTTCCTGCATGGACCAGGCTGGCTTCAGACTGTCAGAGACCCTTGCATTTCTGCTGCTCACTACTGGGATTATGGTTGTGCACAGCCATGCCTGCCCAGGGTACATATTCTTTTGTAGTAGGCCAAATTTTAGTGGATTTTGTTTGTTTTGTTTTCTGAGACAGGGTTTCTCTGTGTAGTCTTGGCTGTCCTTGAACTCGCTTTGTAGACCAAGTTGGCCTCGAACTCACAGAGATCTGCCTGCCTCTACCTCGTGAGTGCTGGAATTGTACACTGTCACTGCCTGGGCAAAATTTTTGTTTTTATTTACTTTATTTTTGTGACTTTATTTTACATGCATGGATGTTTTGTCTGCATGGATGTATGTTCACTGCATGTATTCATGGTGCCCACAGGGGCCAGAAGAGGGCGCTGCATCCTCTGGAGCTGGAGTTACAGATGGTTGTGAGCCTCCAAGTGGGAGCTAGTAATTGAACCCAGGTCCTCTGTAATAACAGTCGCTGCGCTTAACCATTGAGCCATCTCCCAGTCCCTTTCCCACATTTTAGAATTAATTTTCAGGTGTCATGAAGCCTGCATTTTCCTTCTTTGAGTTATTTTATTCTGATTCTAAAAACAGTCACCAGCTCTTGCTGAGAATTTGGAAAATCCAGAAAGCCATTGCACTCCTGGGCATAAAAACCCACTGTCCGCATTTTAATACATGTTCTGCTACCAGTTTTATTTGTGATGGAGTTTAAATTATACTATACCTGTATCTTTACATGATACATGCCATTACACAGATGCTAAAGTGTTCTTGCTGGTCAGCCTGGGCTACATGAAGTCTGAGCCAACCTAGGCTACATGATATGATCTTGTTTTAACTATCCTCCCTCTTTTGGGGATCATGCAGAATGATGTGGTAATTGCCTGTAATCTAAGAATTTGGGAGGTTAAGGCAGGATTATAAGGAGTTCAAGGCTAGCCTGGTGTACATCACAAAACCCAGTCTGAAGAATGAAAGACTGCCCAGCACTCAGGAGACAGAGACGGGTGGGTCTCTGGAGTTTGAGGCCGGCTTGGTGTACATAGTGAGTTCCAGGACAGCCAGGGTTACATAGAAAGTCTCTCTTTCAAAAAATAGTAGTAATATTTATTAGCCAACTTATGTACCCAGCATTTGCTTAACATCTATAGTTTAAGAGACACTTTCCCAGCCAGGTGGTGGTGGCACACACCAGCCTGGTCTGCAGAACTAGTACTAGACAACCAAGGCTACACAGAAGAAACCTCGTCTCAGGAAAAAAAGAGAGAGAGAGAAAGACGGTTCCCTATGATGAGAGGCAGACAGACAATCATTGTTAAAAAACAATGCTGAAAAATTCTGGGAAGGAAAACAAGTCTGGTGAAGAGGCCAGGTTAGAAGCCAGGCCAGAAAGAGTGACTATCATAAGCCAAGTGCGGAGGCATGCACTTGTGATCCCAGCACTTGAGAGGCAAAGGCAAGAGGATCAGGAGTTCAGGGTCAGCTCTGGCTACAAAGGGACTTATAGTCCAGTCTTGACTATGTGAAAACCTGTCTCAAAAAAGACAAACAAAAGAAATATTGGGAATCCTGGTGGTGGTGGTGGTGCATACCTTTAATCCCCAGCACTCAGGAGCCAGAGGCAGGGGTTTCTAAATTTGAGGCTGGCCTGGTCTACTGTGTGAGTTTCAGGACAGCAAGGGCTATCCAGAGAAACCCTATCTTAGAAGAAAGAGAGAGAGAGAGAGAGAGAGAGAGAGAGAGGAGAAGGAGAGGAGGGATATCAATAATTTGTGACTATTTAATTTTCCTATTCTGATTAAGATTGTTTTATGATGGAAATTTCAGATGTAGACAGAAGCAACAGAGGTAACATAATCTTCCAGCTTCCAACATTATCATGATTTTTGACCCACTTCAAATCTGGACAGTTTGGGGCTGGAGAGATTGCTCAGCAGTTAAGAGCACTGGCTCTTCTTCCAGAGGACCTGGGTTCAGTTCTTGGCACCCCACACAGTCACTTACAAGGATAACATCTATATCTCCAGTTCCAGGGGACCTGGGGCCCTCTTCTGGCCTCCTTGAGAATTATACACACATGGTTCACATAAACTTACACCGGCACACACATACACTAATAAAAATGAATTCATAAATCTTTAAAATATAGAAAAAGTTGGATGTGGTGGCACACATGCCTTTAATCCCACCACTTGGGAGGCAGAAGCAGATGCATCCCTGAATTTGAGGCCATGCTGGTGTTCAGAGCGAATCTGGTGACAGCCAGGGCTACGCAGAGAAACCCAACTCAAAACAAACAACACCAAAGACCATACAGAAATTCATATTTTCTTGCAATAGTCATAGCATTAAATCCCCAGGATTGAACTGAACAGTGGTTTCGATGGACACTCTGGATGGTGGTGAGCAAGGCCTATCAAAGAGGGCTGTGTTGATTTGTGTAACTGATACTCACCGAACATCCGTTGCATGCCAGGCACTATTTCAGGATTTAAGTCTCCCTGGTGATTGACAGTTGAGCTGCGGTGGAAACACAAGTCATTATATATTTGTTTGTTTGTTTGTTTTCAGGCAGGGTCTCGCCCTGTGGCTGTAACTGGCCTAGGACTTCCAGAGATTCCCTCCTGTCTCTAGGGTAGGATTAAAGGCACGCACCACCATGCACGGGTTTATTTTCACGTTTTATTATTTTATTTTATGTGAGTGCACACAAGTACCATGGTGCACCCGAGGAGGGCAGAGGACCACTTTATGGAACCTATTCTCTCCTTCCATGTTCATGTGGGTTTGGGGAATCACGCTCAAGGTTTTCAAGGCAGTCTTCTCTTATCTGCATCCTGTCAACACTGAGCCAAACTTAAATGAAGCAGAGGAGGAAGGCAGAGTGGGCATAGCTGCAAAGAACAAGCTAGGCAGACAGCATGTGCCAAGGCCCTGAGGTGTGACCGACTGTGTTTTGACTTTTTGAGACACAGTCTCACATAGCTGACGCTAACCTCAAATTTGCTATGTATCCAAAGAGGACCTTGCCTCTCAAGCGCCGGGATTGTAAGTGTGTGTTCCCACGCTGGCTAGGCCTGTGTCTGGGGACTAGAGAGGAAGCCTGCTTGGCTGATGACTTGGGTGAGAGGAGACGGAGGGAAGCCAGTTCTGGAGCACCTGTGACTCATGGTGATAACTTAGGCCTTTGCTATAAATGGGACAGAGCCACGTCTGGGACAGAAGAGTGAGGTGACAAGCTGTGGCGAGTGAAGGCCTCCGAAGGCAGCGGCCTGTTGTGTTTGTGCCATCCGGCGTCACGGCCTCACAGAGTAGTGGTTCGGTAAACATTGGTTGTACAAATAGGACATGTCAGCGCACATGGGGCCCTGGGATTACACTTCTGTGCTCCGAGTGTAGATGTGACGTGATTTATGACGTCCTCCCATGTGCGTGCTCTTGGGGTTTCTTAGTGCCTGTTGTGAGCCCTGCGATATTTATTAAAGTTGGGAAGGGCTTCCGCAGCAGCCTGGATGGTTGCTCTCTGTATTGCTGTCATCACCGGGATCCTGGGGAGGCTGAGCTGAGGGCAGCCTAGGGTGCAGCACATGGACAGGCTGGAGAGGCAGCGTGACTCTCCCTGCTCTCTTCTTCTTCTTCTTCTTCTTCTTCTTCTTCTTCTTCTTCTTCTTCTTCTTCTTCTTCTTCTTCTTCTTCTTCTTCTTCTCCTTCTCCTTCTCCTTCTCCTTCTCCTTCTCCTTCTCCTTCTCCTTCTCCTTTTTCTTTTTTGTTTTTTTGAGACAGAATTTCTCGGTAGCTTTGGAGCCTGTCCTAGAACTCGCTCTTGTAGACCAGGCTGGTCTCGAACTCACAGAGATCCGCCTGCCTCTGCCTCCTGAGTGCTGGGATTAAAGGTGTGCGCCACCACCGCCCGGCCTGTCCCTGCTCTTGACTTGCATTCCTCCTGCCCACAGCTCCACCGAGAAGAACTGCTGTGTGCGACAGCTGTACATTGACTTTCGGAAGGACCTGGGCTGGAAGTGGATCCATGAGCCCAAGGGCTACCATGCCAACTTCTGTCTGGGGCCCTGTCCCTACATTTGGAGCCTGGACACACAGTACAGCAAGGTGGGTCTGGCTCATGATACAGGATGGAGCAAAGGCTGGAGTGGTAGGGAGAGAAAGAGATTGGACCAGTGTGGGTCGGCAGAATAGGGTGAAAGAGAAACAAACAAGACAGAAATAGGGAGAGGCAGGGATGGGGACCGATGACAGATAAGAGAGACAAAGAGATGAAGCAATGGGAAGAGAAAAATGGGAGAGACAGATAAAAATAGACAGATTGGGAAAGACAGGGAGACAGATGGAAGTTGGGGAGAGACACAGATGGGGAGACTCAGAGATGAGAGACACAGAAATGTAGAGATACTAATGGGGAGAATCTGTGGACCCTGATCATGACCCTGGCCCGCCCGCAGGTTCTTGCTCTCTACAACCAACACAATCCGGGTGCTTCGGCGTCACCGTGCTGTGTGCCACAGGCGCTGGAGCCGCTGCCCATCGTGTACTACGTGGGTCGCAAGCCCAAGGTGGAGCAGCTGTCCAACATGATTGTGCGCTCCTGCAAGTGCAGCTGAGGTCCCGCCCCGCCCCGCCCCGCCCCTCCCGGCAGGCCCGGCCCCGCCCCCCGCCCCGCCCGCAGCGCTCGGGGCCGTATTTAAGGACACCTGCACCCCTGCTAAGCCCACCATTAATGGGGGTGTCCATTAAAGGTGAGAGAGGACTGGTAGTCTCCGTGTCATTGGGCACCCGATTGCGTCTCCCTCCTTACTGAGGCTCCTGCGCATCGTCCCACCACCCAGTGCCGCTGCCTCCAGCTCTTAACAAAAACCCCAGGGTTCCAAGTGGGCAATGCCGGCGCCCAGAGGGAAACTATTATAAACTAGACTCGGGGATCGAGTTCGGTTGGCGCTGTTCACAGTGTCTTATACCTCGGACCATTCGCTGAGACAATCCTGGAGAACCTGAGTTCCTGCAGTTGCCTGGGATAGGGTGAAGAAGTGTTAAAAACGCTGGTTTGATGGGTTGTGGTGGTCCACATGACGAGGCATGTGGCAGGGGAATCTTTGAGTTTGAGACTAGCCAGGGCTCTGTGGTGAGATTCTGTCTCTAGAGGCAAACTACTGGTTCAAAGTGGGGCGTGTGGTACCTGAAATGCCAGCACCAGGAAGGCAGGAGGACCTGGGCTCTCAGACTGCATGTCAACAAAATTCAGAGGGTGGTGGTGGTGGTGACTATGTGGCAGTGTGCAAAGACACTTTTGGGGGAGAGACAGCTCCCAGGAGGAAGTGGTATTTGAGACTTGAAGGAATTTAGGGGAGACATGGGGGTACATTCTTGGAAGACCAGAAGTGACAACCATTTTAGGGTGTGCCACCAAGTGAGGAAAGAGACCTTTGGTGACCAGAGGAGAACAAGGGAAAGGTGTTAGGTGCTGAGTCAGACTTGAGCCAGCGCGAGCCAGCGGGTGACAGTTCTCCTACACCTCAGGTGTGTGGCTGTCCTCCCTGGTTCACAGCAGGCTTCCCATGGCCTACGGGAGCAGGGGTTGGCAGACTTTGGCCCAAAGCCCACCTCAGCCTACAGCCTGTTTCTGTAAATAAGTTCTGCTGGCCCATAGCCACACTCGCTCCTTCCTCCACAAACTGTCTGCAGCCATGTAGCCGCCTCTGTAGCATCGCCCAGTGTACACAGGGCCAAAAATACCACCTGGTTCCTCAGAAAAAGTTTTCTGGGATCGGTGTGGTGATACATGCCTGTAGATTTGGCAGGAGGCAGAGGCAGGAGGATCACTGCAAGTTCAAAGCCAACCAGAGTGAGATCATATGGAGAGTCTTGACTCAATATTTCCCATTCTCTCCAAAAGCTTGTCTTTTTTGGTGGGGACTGTTTGCTTTTTACAGATCGAAGTCCCAACCTGCAGGAGCCCTTATTTTTTTTTTAAAGCCATAGAGCTAGTGAGTGGCAGAGCTGGGATTTGAACCCATGGTCTACACATGTACCTGAGACTGCTTTCTTGATCATACCAAGAATAAAGGACCTCAAAAGAACTTGGGGGACATGGAAGCGTGAGCATTACCAGATGATCTAAGATACTGAATTCAGGGGCTCAGTTTCTGGTAAGTCATTGAGAGTAAACTTGAGGGGGGAGGCATGTGGTGTGAGCATAACCTTGGGAAAATTATCTAGGCAAGAAATAGCCGTGGCCTGGGCCCTGTGCTGTCTCGTCCCTTCCTGTCTGCTGCGGTGAGCTTTGTGAGCTCTTCCTGCTTCCTCTTTCCCCATCTACTCTCCTCCTTTCACTGCCCCTACCCTCTGCCTTTCTCAGGCCTCCAGGACTCCTGGGCTTGCTTTTCACTCAGGGAATGTCCAGGAGGGGGGTGGATGGAGGGCAGAGCCTTTGCTCTGAAGCTGACAGTCCTGAGACTGGGTAAGTCGGCCCTAGGCCTCCTGGCCTCTGCCCATTCCGGGTCTGAGAGCCTCAAGAACCAGGTTGGACTTGGTTTGGTGGCAGGACGGCAGGACGAGCTCACTCTGCCAAGGACATTTACCACCGCCACTAGTTCACACCACTGAGGCCTGGGCCCAGGAGGGGGAGACATAAGCAAGGACACACATTGTTGGCACTGGAGCCCCTCAACCACTAAACACTCCCACCACCTCCAGCAGAAGCCAAAATAGGAACGGTGTCCCACAACCACACCAAACATTCACCTCTCAGGACTGGTGACACGCGGATTCTGACACCTGGCCGTAGTCATAGACCACACATGCACAGACTATAAACAGCCCAACCCCAGAGCCTCACAGGGACATGGCATAAGGAGAGAGTTTGATAGAAAAGGCCATCACAGGGCCATGGTTCCACCACATGCCAGACAGATTCACAGAGTCACATGCACCAGACACACACCACAGCGTCAGAGCCCTTTTGGGAAAAAAATCCCCCCCCAACAGTTACACAAACATCCTCCACGGGGTCATGGTCATTGCGTGACCCATCATCAACCCACTCATACCACACACACTGAGGTTTTTATACACGTCACCACTCCGACCAGACTACCAACAGGTCACAGCTACCGTCTGGCATCCTTCACACACACCCACTTGCCTGGGGAGTCCCAAGTGGCCTCACAGACTCAGACACAGTCACACCCAGGATCCCAGACGTAGCAGCTCCCACGCACCCAGACACACCCCCAGGCTTCCCAAGCCATTACACCGGCCCTTCACCCTGGAGCCTGCCTGCTGGCTGTGCCCCATGCCCTGCCCAACTGCCTGTTGCTCCTAGGCAGGCCTGGCTGCTGGCAGTCATGGGGGAGGGTAATTTGCAGACTCAGCACCTTTGCTGGCCCTTGCGCTGCCCTGATGTCTTGGCACTTGGGCTCAACGGGTTGCCTGACCCAGCAGAGCTGGGACTACCCAGAACATCTACCTCAAGCAGGATAGGGCACAGGGTCGCCGGGTAGTCCCGCCCCTTAGGCCGCTGGGGCATGGGGGAAGCTGTGGAGGGAGCCCGGGTTCCGGCTGGATCCCCAGTTTCCTGTCCAGCTTCTAGAGCAGGAAGCAGCCAAGGAGGCCTGCACAGGCCTTCCTGCTCCCTCCTAGACCTACTGGGTCTGGATGAACGGGGGAGGGGAAGGGAGACAGGAACAAATTCCCCTTGAAGCCTAGTACCCAGGCATACGCTGTACCAATGTGTTTGTTTCTGGTGTGTCCTTATAAGTCTTCTGAGTGTGAACACACGCACTCCCTTCCCTCCCCCCTTTGTCTGTCTGTCTGTCTCTCTGTCTCTTTCTCCTGAGGGCTTTTGGACAGCATGGCATTGTCAGTTTGGGGTGTGTATTGCCAGCATGCGTTCTGCTCGGCGTTTGTGCCTAGGGCCACATTTCTGCTGAATATCTGCTGCTGGACAAGCTGGGGGTACTTTCTGTGGGTTCTCTGCTGGCACTGTTTGCGGGTGAGAGGGCATACCAGTGGGTTGCCTAGCTGGAACGAGTTTTGAGTTTGATCCCCCCGCCCCAAGCAGCTTCATAGTTCTCTGGGTGTAAATTTTTGCAGTTAAGTGTCTGTTCTACTTGGAATCGGGGTGTTTTTTTGCATGTTTGTGGGTCTGTGAGGATTTTTTGGAAAGGTGTTGTGTGTTTTGTTACATGCGCTGTTTCTGATGATGTACATGTATGCTAGTCACCAGTGTGTGTGCCTTGTGGGAGGGTGATTTGGGGGTTACAACTGTGTGTGTGTTAGTTATATATATATGGGGGAGGGCATAAGTATATGTGAGTGCTGCTTCTGGTGGCGGTCCGAGGCGTCAGAGTCCCCTGACAGGTTAATAGTGAGCTTTACCCGACATGGGTGCTGAGGACAGAACCCAGGTCCTCTTGGAAGAACTGTAACCGCTCCTAACTGCTGAGCCATCTGTCCAGCCCATGGCTGAGAACAGAACCCAGGTCCTCTGGAAGAACTGTGAGCCATCTCTCTGGCCCACGGCGAGTGCAGAAGTTCAGGCTTGAGGTGTGCTGGGAAATCTCTGCAGCCTCAGGGTCACGTGTAGCCTGGGCTGGCTTTGAACTTGAACTCCTAGTTGTCCCACTTCTCTGTAGAAGGCTGGCAGTGCGGGGTTCATACAGATTTGAGGATGAAGCCCCGGGCAAGCACTGTACCAAGTCACACTCACAGCCTAGAGGGCAGCATTTTGTGATTATTTTGTTCATAGTCCAACACATATTTCAGTTTGTACTCGCGGTGAGTCTGACACACTGTGGCCCTTGGTGTCTGTGTGAGCGGTCATAGTGGGCTCTGAGGCCTGCATGTCCGTTTTAGCCTGGCATCAGCGAGGGTGGGTGTCAGCGTGCAGGCAGGGTCAGCATCAGGCTGGTGACTTCAATATGTGAGCTGTATGGGTCACTTTTGAGAGTGTTCGGAGGTGTCAACACTATGATTGGCGGGTGTGTGTGGGCTAAACTGTGTGCTGGTGTTTTCAAAGGAGGGAACTTCCTATCTTGTGAGGCCATTGGCTGTTGTGTCACCAGTGCTTGTTGGTCTTTGTGCTGAGTGGAGCCTGTCTGCGGTGTCCCCTTGCTGGCGGGTGCCACGCTGGCTCGGGGCTGGCTGTGGCAGCGGGCAGGGCAGGGCAGGGGCTGTGGTGGGCACTGGCCTTCCGCCCAGCCTCGATATAAATATCCCCAGGCTGCCCGCTGCTGTTTACTCGGCCGGAGCCCTGGGGGCGGCCCCAACAGGTCCTGGAGGGGGGGGGCGGGGTGACCCGGCTACAGCACAGACATTTCCTTCTGCTCAGACAGGCAGGCAGCCTTGCTGGCCTCTCATGGGTGGGGACAAGGTGGTGACCCCTTGTTTTAGGTTCCTAGGGCCCACCAGTGGAGCTCTGACCTGGATCTCCCAGGGTCTGGGAGACAGATGGGGTAAGGGTATGGACCAGGAGACTGCAGGGAGAGGACAGGAAAAAGTGAGGGTGAAGGCCGGCGGGGAGAAGGGGCAGTAAAAGAGCTAAGAGTAGTGTGTTTGAGGGACCAAGGGCAGAAGCCCAGGAGAAGCAGGAGAGGATGGGAGACATGGGGGCACAGATGGGAGAGGAAGGAAATGGGGACAGTGTGGGTCAGACAGGGACCTTTCCAGAAAAGAGCTAAGGTTGGGGAGCAGGAGGCAGAGAGGTGTCGGTAGACAAGGGTACAGGGCAACGGCCATCTGAGCCCAGGCCAGGGCAGGACAGACAGGAGAGATGGAGGTGGGGGCCGGATACCCACAGAGGGGCTCTCCCCTCCCTGACTCAGCCTCTCCGCCCACCCCATCCCCAGGAACCAGATCAGAGGCTGAGGCGCCAGCCACCACGGGGGTGGGGGGGCTGCTCAAGCAGGGTGTGCCTTTGCTGTCTGCCCCCTCCTCTGTCTCCACCTTTCTTCCTGTCTCCTCATCTAATCCCTGTCCTTGTGGCCAGCTCCACCTCTCTCATTTGCAGACTCAACCATCTGACTAAGCCCAGATCCTGACTCAATGGCTGTGTGGCTCAGCTCTCTTTAAAGTTACATAACAAACTGATGGATGGCGGCCTTTCTGTCTTCAATCAATTTAATAATCAGACAGAACACTGATCAACTGGGAAAAGACTTAAGCTAACCCAGCTCCCCAGAGAGCCCTCTTTGCTCCTGCTGGGGGGACAGGGGCAGGGGCTGTAACAGCACGTCGCACACAGCCAGGGCACTTCCATCTTCCATGGGCTCTCCCAGACTGTCTTCTGTCCCCTCTGTTGTTGCCCCCACACACGCTGGCAGGAGCGGCTGTAGAAGTGTGTTCTAGTCTTGGTTCTGCCGGGAGGCCAGGTGATCTCAACAGCCTTTCTGGGCTGTTTTGTGGTTTGTGACAAGTGGCAGTTGACAGTCTGGTTCAAGTTGTCAGGAGGTGTCACCACCGCCTCAGGCAGCCTGGCCCAGTGGAACTGCTGAGGTCTTTTCCATATTTCAAGCTTTCATGCCAACACCGTCTGTCCCCAGTAGCTCTCTGGGTGAGTTTAGTTGACCCAGGGGTCAGGACTTTAGCTCGACAAAGCAGTTTTGAGGGTCCTGCAGGTATTGCCAAATAGAATGCCACAACTGTCTCAGAGTAGCTTGCCTCTTCAGGCTCAGACACGCTAGCCCCCATCCTCAGAAGGGACAGTAGCAGGTCCCTTCTATCTGTTGGGGCAGCAGGAGCGGGTGTGGGGCATGGGAAGGTAGGACGTCTGGGTTCCCACAGGCCTTGGCTGAGTCACAGGCAGCCATCTGGCTCTCATTAGTCGGAGGCAGCAGGGGGCTCTGTGGGGCGGGCCCTGTGGCCTGCTGGGGGCAGGGGCACTAGGACAGGCTGTGTGTGTGTGTGTGTGTGTGTGTGTGTGTGTGTGTG